AATATATGGGATTTATGCTTCTCTCAATGCAGACAGTGAAGTGTCCTGGTGCAGGAGAGACAAAAACAAATATTTGACAGAAAATCATTTCTCCTTAAGACTCGTGTACAAAGTTCCCTCCTCTTAGCTGTAGGCTACATTTAGTGATTGAGCTGCATTTGCAATCCTCCCTTTTAAGTTCTGTAACTGAGTGAGAATAAAATCAATCTAGAACACTGAATCTTTAAGTTACTGTCATGTGTAAATAATAGTTATACACAAACCATCACTTAAAATCAGAGCAGAGAAAACTGACAGTTTGTGTCAACATCATAGATCTATGGCAGTCAAGTGAAGACCAGAGCTGAAAAAACATATTTAATAATATCTAATTCATTTATGTGTCATGATTCTTCCCAGTGTGGGTCAGTATATCAGCTGCAACACATATCAATGAAGATGATGTACTTTTTAACGAGACTTGAAAATACTGTCACAGCTCACCATGAGAGACTCCCAGTATCATCAGCAACAGTCCGATCACAGCTTCCATGTCTCCTCAGACTCTGTTGACCCAGTCAGCAGCTTACACACAAAAGTTTCTACTTTATTTAACAGCAAACATGCACACACTAACTGAGCAGCCTGAAATGTCTTCTCTTAGTGATCAGCAGGAGAAAGGAGGCAGATCATTGTGGCCAACTGGTCACTTCCTCATTTATGTTGAGAGCAGTCTGACTAGATGGCATGAAAGCCTTAAAAGGATGCTGATGACAAAAAGTAAATAAATAAACAGAAGTCTGGAAGTGGTTTCTGAAGTTCTGTGTTTTGTAATTAGATGTTACATTTAACCACACACTACCAGGAAATCCTGTCATGCTACTCAAAAAGAAGTGGAACACAGTGTCTTCATACAGTGTAGTAACCATAAACACAGCATCTCCCACAAGACCTTTTCTTTTTTCTGTTATGTCCTGTTCAATCATCCTCCACATTCGAGACAGATGAACATATGGATTTTAAGATTAAAACTTTTACACAGTATTAACATGTGCAAAGTGTGACATCTTTTTATTTTCAATAAACTGAGTGGGAAATGAGACAACATGACAATGTAAGACACAAGATATTTCATTGCTAATACTTTCACTATAATATATACACAGGCAATGATATGTTACTGGTTCTGAAAACAACCATGAAGTCTCTGTAACTGACGTGAAACACAAATGTCTCTAAAATAAGATAAAATGTAAAAAAACAAACAAACAAACAAAAAACAAAAGCAACAATATGTCATCCCAAGGTGCTAAAATATGGACATTCACACTGTGCTGTTGGCCCACAGTGGTCTGAAAATCATGCTACTCTGTACTAACCTCTGCACTGTTCCTGCTTTAAAGTTCACCTGTACATTTCCTTGTCACACGCTCTCTGTCTCTGTGGTCTCTCTAGACTCTGTCGCCCTCCACTGGCAGCTGTTGATTAAAGACAAATGCCCTAAAATATGAAAACACTTCTGACATTGCACCTGCAGCAATAAACAGTCATATTTTACACTTAATATCTGCTGAAGCTGTTTCAGTGAAGCCTCTGAAGGCAGTTACAGATATGTGAACATTTTCCACTGATCGTTGTTTTCCCTGAAATGTTTACATGTTGTCAACACAGAGTTTTATTGAATACAGAATTATCCATTAGCAACAGTAACGCCTCTGTAAACCAGTAGAGGGAAACCTCACACCCACTAACTCTGATAATGAGTCTGGACGTTTTATTCAGTTCTCTGCAGTCATTAAAGGTACAGTCCGTGATCAAAATGTCATCAAACGGCCTCAAACAAATTAACTGATGACACATGACTCAGTGAGTGACAGGTTTTGAATACATAAGAACACTAGGAAGAAACTAAATTAAAGCCTTTAATAATGAATGCTTTGAAAGGTTTTACATAAACATGGAAGCAAAACAGACCTGCATTAGTAATTATAATCAGATAAGAGAAACACAAACTATTATTTACATAATTCAGTCTTTACGAGTTAAACCCTTTAATCATATATGGGATTATTCATCTAATTTATATGCTGTACAATTACAGTTTGGGCGTCAATAAACATTATTAAACACACATTAAATATATACAGTCACTACATCAAGTACCTATATACAAAAGTAATGCAATAGTGCAATGAGAATGTGGAAATCTACAGCAAAATAACTTCCAAATGGCATCAAGATTAGTTGCACCAGTGGTGTAGTGGAGGGTATGCTCAGGTATACAGAGTGTACCCACCTCTTTCTCTGGCTGTTTACAGTTTACTCGCCTATCAGCCAAAAACACACCCATAAAGACACATGGCTGATCACAGCACATATGAGACAACACTAAGGCCTTGGTTTCACACGTTACTGTAAAGTTCAGATGCAGAACTTCTCACTTCAACCATCATAACAGAGTTCTCTTCATGTCCCCTCTTACAGCGGACGCCAGAGCCTGCAGCCATCTTGTATTTCTTCTTCTTCCAAGCAAAAAAGACGCAGATCCCAATTAACACAAGAATCACCACAGCTGCTCTCACACCACATATGAGCAGGGAGTGATCTGTTTGGATAAAGAGACACAAAAATCGGATGTTAAGTTAAGACTGTGACAGGAGAGTTAGTTTTGACATAAATGCCAGGGGTCATCTCTGCTGGAGGAAGTCTGATTGACGTGTGTATCTTAAAGGCTAAATGCTTTATTTTGCATGTAAGATGACACAGAGTGATTACACTCAACTTCAGGCGAGCAGAAATGATCAACATTTGTACTGAGTAACAGAATCACATGTGTCAAATTCAGCTCAAAACATCATCCTTTGAAAAGGTAAATGAACGCCACTTCAGTTCAGTCTCCCATTACCATCACCAGTGCTCGCAGTGATGACCACAAGGGTTGAGTGACAACAGGTGAGAATCCCAGTCCTGGAGATGGGATTTGTTCAATAATTAGTAGTTGTGTGTATCATTAGTAGTTCAATAGGTTGAACACTGAAAAAGATTCTGATTATTTGCTTTGTGTGTATGAGATGTAATGGTCACTGTTTATGAGTCAGGGGTTTACCTAACCTCCATTTTGACACTGAATTAATACATCAGCTTTCATTTCCCTTTTTGAAGGGTGGTGCCCCGAGGTGAACTTAATGCAAGTTACATTCAGTTACTCAGGATAAATGCTGATCATTTCTGATAACCTGAAGTTATCATGTGTGTCGCATTGGGTAAGGTGCAGTTAATGAATATGAAGCCTGAAGGAAAGAAACACATCAGTGACTGATGTACAGTTAATCATCAGTGTCATAATCATCAAACTGTTTATTACTCATGTTCTCACTCACCACAGTCAGATATTGTTATTTCTTTTGAGACACTGCTGACATTATTCCTGACTGAGCAGACCAGTTGTCCTGAGACGTGTTGTTTCAGAGTGATGTTTGTAGTCTCAGTGTTTCCAGAGAGGAGCTCAGCGTCTGTCAGTGTGTGTCCATCCAGAGTCCAGCTGTACTGAGGACTGTCCCCTCCCTCAGAGGAGCAAGACACCCTCATCTCTCCCTGGGACAGACACTCAGAGACCAGCAGGACAGAGGACACAGGAGCTGAAGGAAACTCACTCAGGTGACTTTTCATGTTAACATCTTGGTCATTTTATACAGTTTCTGATACAGAACAGTCCAGACAGAGATACAGATAAATATGAGATATATGTAGACATGTTTAATTTAGCAATAGAATATGACATGTATTTCTACCAATGTTTTGAATTTCCCCAGTTGGTAAAAAAAAGCTATTTACCCTGAATGGACAAATATAGAGTCCGCTGCTCTGATCTCTGTCCATTTGAATCATAGGTTGAAAGTTTATATTCCCCACCATCATTCCAGCTCAGGTTATTGACCCTAAATGTTCCATCACTGGGAGTAAATGATGATCTGTTCTCTATCTCATTAGACACAATCAGATTCTTTCTCCAAGCCAATATTATTGTTGTTTTGTTTGACCATCGGTATCTAAATATTTCTGAGGCGCTGTCCATCAGCCAGAGGACCACAGTTCCTCCCAAAGCTCCATAACACTGAGCTCCATCCTGTCTGCCATCACAGGAGGTTTCCACACCTGGAAATTAAAGATATTTTAAAAAAAAATGAGAAAAGTGAAAAATTGTAACTGTGACTGAGATTATGATTTAACAGTAGCGTAAGAGCTGTGTTTGCAATCCTCCCTTTTAAGTTCAGTAACTGAGTGAGATTAAAATCAACCTAGAATACTGAGGCTTTGATTTATTGCCACATATAAATATTCACTTAAAATCAGAGCAGAGAAAACTGTCAGTTTGTGTCAACATCATAGATCTATGGCAGTCAAGTGAAGACCAGAGCTGAAAAAACATATTTAATAATATCTAATTCATTTATGTGTCATGATTCTTCCCAGTGTGGGTCAGTATATCAGCTGCAACACATATCAATGAAGATGATGTACTTTTTAACGAGACTTGAAAATACTGTCACAGCTCACCATGAGAGACTCCCAGTATCATCAGCAACAGTCCGATCACAGCTTCCATGTCTCCTCAGACTCTGTTGACCCAGTCAGCAGCTTACACACAAAAGTTTCTACTTTATTTAACAGCAAACATGCACACACTAACTGAGCAGCCTGAAATGTCTTCTCTTAGTGATCAGCAGGAGAAAGGAGGCAGATCATTGTGGCCAACTGGTCACTTCCTCATTTATGTTGAGAGCAGTCTGACTAGATGGCATGACAGCCTTAAAAACATGCTGATGACAAAAAAATTAACACAAGTCTGGAGGTGGTTTCTGAACTTCTGTGTTTTATAATTAGATGTTAAATTTAGACATACAACAGCAGGAATTTCTGTCATTACACTAAAAAAAGAAGTGAAACAAAGTGTCTTCATACAGTGTATAAACCATAAACACAGCTTCTCCCACAAGATCTTTACACAATATGTACATGTGCACAGTGTGACATCTTTTTATTTTCAATACATTGCTGGGAAATTACATGACAGAACAGGCCAGGCATAGATACAGATATATGTAGAATATGAGACACATGTAGTTGAGCAGTAGAATATGACATGAATGTCTATCAGTAATACTCATTTTCTCAGTCGTTAAAAAAGCTATCATCCTTGAATTGTCAACAGTAGAGTCCGCTGCTCTGATCTCCGCCCTTCTGAATCAAAGGTTATAAGAGTATATTCCCCACCATCATTCCAGCTCAGGTTATTGATCCTAAATGTTCCATCACTGGGAGTAAATGATGATCTGTTCTCTATCACATTAGACACAATCAGATTCTCTCTCCCACTGAGTATTACTGTTGTTTTGTTTGACCATTGGTATCTAAATATTTCTGAGGCGCTGTCCATCAGCCGGAGGACCACAGTTCCTCCCAAAGCTCCATAACACTGAGCTCCATCCTGTCTGCCATCACAGGAGGTTTCCACACCTGGAAAGTTTCAAACATAAGTTGGGATATTCACAAGCTGAGCAATATTTGAAGTCATTAAATTAACTCCACCTTTACCAGCTGCAATGATAATCACACAGTGTAAGATATGTACTTTTGCTTTAGGTAATTTACACCTATTTTGATGCTAATACCTTAGTACCATTGCATAAATAATATTTTTAGTTCATGAGTTTTACTTGTTTTTCTTTAATGTGGTATTTGACTTTTATTTCAGTAAAAGTTCTGAGCACATGTTCCACCACAGCAGGCCAGATATGAAGATACAGATATGTGTAGAATATGAAATGTACAGTAGTTTAGCAATAAAATATGACATGTACATGTATTAATATCACTTCACCTGAAGGTACAAGAAGTTATTTACCTTGAATGGTCAGCTGTAGAGTCTGCTGCTCTGTGATTCGTCCATCTGAATCATAGATTTCAAGATTATATTCTCCTTCATCACTCCAGCTCAGGTTATTGATCCTAAATGTTCCATCACTGGGAGTAAATGATGATCTGTTTTCTATCTCATTAGACACAATCTGATTCTTTCTCCCATAGAGTATTACTGTTGTTTTGTTTGACCATTGTTATCTAAATATTTCTGAGGCGCTGTCCATCAGCCGGAGGACCACAGTTCCTCCCAAAACTCCGTAACACTGAGCTCCATCCTGTCTGCCATCACAGGAGGTTTCCTCACCTGGAAAGTTTCAAACATAAGTTGTCACTATAATGACAACGAGACATTTGCTGCAGCTGTTTCTCTGCCAGACCACAGTTTGCAACACAGCTTGTACTTGAGTTTTTTGTACGTTATACTGTACTCATACTACATTTCAGGAGGAAATATTGCAGTTTTTACTACTCCATTTATTCCTCATTGATTACTTCTCAGATTCATATTTCACATAAATATGCAATACAATAAATATTCGATAAAATATAAGATGCAGTGACAAAGATGGAACGAGCCAAAAGACTGCAAAGATGTTGAAATTAATACTTTAAGTACATTTTACATTTACATTTTGCATAAGTCATAGACATGTTTAGTTTAGCAATAGAATATGACATGTATGTCTATCAATGTTACTAAATTCCTCAGTTGGTAAACAAAGTTATTTACCTTGAATAGTCAACTGTAGAGTCCGCTGCTCTGATATCAGTCCATCTGAATCATAGATTGTAAGTTTATNTGAAAATCCACATCAATTCCAGGCAGTTATCGGCAGTTTTCTGTGCTGACTGTAAATTCCTGCGAACAGTCGTTAACTTGAACTTCCAAAGCAATTTACAGTGCCAATGATTGCTGAAAATCCCACTTTTCATGCAGTGTCAATAAAAAACAAATGCACATATATAAATAATGATGTATAATACATGTCCTGATGGCCTCCATCAGATATAATGCTAATGTTTTGCTAAATAAAATTATTTTTCATGAAAAAGCATTTTTAGTGGCCCAATTTACCTTAATGTGTTCAAGTAAATTGGGCCACACATTTCAGCTAAAATGAGCCACGGTCTGAGTTGAGTTTTAGCAAATATTTTGATGGTTCCTCTTATTAAAAAGTATTAATGTATAAATATATTAGTGTATTATCTTATATTACAGGCCTCTTCACATTTTCCTTTGTAATTATGTATGTGTGTTAGCTCTGGTCCAGGGCGCATCGTGAGCTAGCTCTCACTAGCTAGTGCTCAGACACACACACACACACACACACACACACACAAGAGAAAGGGAAAGGTGAAAGAGGCTGATGTACTGTAGCCTAGAAGTGATAGTGGAAGATGGTTAAGTAAAGTAACATGAAACTGTAATTACAGTATGGCAAACAAGAAGGAAGAGAGAGGAATGGACAGGAGGAGAAAGGAAGAGAGAGGAAAGGACATGAGGAGAAAGGAAGAGAGAGGAAAGGGGAGGAGGAGAAAGGAAGAGAGAGGAAAGGAGAGGAGGAGAAAGGAAGAGAGGAAAAAGAAAGCATGTCTATAAGGGAAGTGGCAAGTACAACCAGCGGGTAGAGGAGAGGATGAGGGGAGCCTTAGACGAATACAGGATAATTTGATTATATTATGAAAAATGACTGNTGAAAAAACATATTTAATAATATCTAATTCATTTATGTGTCATGATTCTTCCCAGTGTGGGTCAGTATATCAGCTGCAACACATATCAATGAAGATGATGTACTTTTTAACGAGACTTGAAAATACTGTCACAGCTCACCATGAGAGACTCCCAGTATCATCAGCAACAGTCCGATCACAGCTTCCATGTCTCCTCAGACTCTGTTGACCCAGTCAGCAGCTTACACACAAAAGTTTCTACTTTATTTAACAGCAAACATGCACACACTAACTGAGCAGCCTGAAATGTCTTCTCTTAGTGATCAGCAGGAGAAAGGAGGCAGATCATTGTGGCCAACTGGTCACTTCCTCAATTATGCTGAGAGCAGTCTGACTAGATGGCATGAAAGCCTTAAAAATGTGCTGATGACAAAAAAAATTAAACAGAAGTCTGGAAGTGGTTTCTGAAGTTCTGTGTTTCATAATTAGATGTTACCACAATACCAGGAAATTCTGTCACTGCACTCAGAAAGAAGTGAAACAAAGTGTCTTCACACTCACTGTAAACCATACACTTTTTTCTATTCTGTCGTGTTCAATCATCGTACACATTCAAGACAGATGAACATACGGATTTTAAGATTCAAACTTTTACACAATATCTACATGTGCACAGTGTGACATCTTTTTATTTCCAGTAAATTGTGTGGGAAATGAGACAACATTACAATCTCAGAAACAAGATATTTCATTTCTAAGACGCCCACTATTTCTACAGGAAAGTATATGTTAGTGATACTGAAAAAAACTGTGAAGTTTCTGTAACCAGTATGAAACACAAATGTCTCTTACATCCAGGCTGAAAACTAAGCACAATGTCACATTTAAAGGTGAATATAAACACCTGCTACTTAGCCAGGACATAATGTGAGTGAAAACCCAAACACAGCCTGTAGATGTCTTCACAACACAACATGATTTATAAGCTGCAGCATCAACCAACGCAGCCTTTAGGAAGAAACCACTTCAGCCATCTATGTCCTGCTAGTAAAGTTTGTTTTATATGATTTTTCAGTAAAACATTCTGACATATTTTAAATCAATCCTCAAAACTTTAGTTTAAAAAAAAAAACCTTAATTCCATATATCTGGTATTTAATGCAGCAAGTTGGTTATAACATCGTCCAGACTCTATTAATAACTATAACTATCCGTAATTGAACATTGAACTGAACGAGTTTAATATTTGATCTTCGGGCTACAGTGCAATTTCCAACTTCTATATTATGTGCCAAGAGTTTAACATGGGGAGAGGAGAAGACAACCACTGATATTAAATTAAATTTAAAAAAAAAAAAAAGACGAAAAATAACCCTGTATTGTTAATAGACAAAGAACTTACTTATATTTTGTTCTTCAAGATTTTGCTGAAGTTACTGTCATTTTATACAGTGGTCAATAATGACATTTTTCCATAGAGAGCAGATCAAATCTTCAGTGATTTACACAATTTTATTCAGATCAGTGACGTCACAAATATAGTCACACAGCTGCTCCTGTGCTAAACTAAGACATAACATACATGGCATTACACTGATACCACAAGTTATTGTTTGCTATTAAAAAATTCAACACTGGATACACAAAGAAAACTTCAAAGACTTTTCCAGCTTCCTCTTTATGCTGAAAAATCCCGTTCTTCCTTTGAGTCCTCCACTTAGCACCCTCTGATGATCCTCAGCTGAGTTCACTAAAGTCCAAAGTCCAGGCGTTCATTCTCAGTTATTAACCTGAGGCTGTACAAAAAAAACAGAAAAACACAAAATGATTTAGCAGTCAAAGCAAATCAAATGGCTTTGATGTCCCCCCCCCCCCATTTTCTTATTGTCCTGTTGTTGTTGGGTTTTTTTTTAAATAGCCCACAAACAGATGTGTAAAATCTTACTGGATTTCTTACGGCGCCTCACTTTCTGACAGACACAGCAACACACCACCACCACCACCACCACTATCAGGAGAGCACCCACTCCACAGTAGACTGGGATCAAGATGTTCCACTTGTTTTCTGAGGAGAAGAGACCACAGTGATAATCACACACACTTACAACCTGTGAGTTAAAGAAATTGTTAACCTGGGTGTTATTACCAGCAGCAACAACATTGCATGTTGCCACAGAAGCAGTTTTGAGTATTTTGCGAGGTGTTTAAATGTCTGTCTGTCTGTCTGTCTGTCTGTCTGTGTTGGACAGAATTTGTCAAGGTCACAACCATGCAAAACTTAACAGGTGTGATCAAGTTCAAAATGATGGCCGAGTTCGAAGATTGGTGTGGTTTGAACAAGAAGGTTAGACATAGGGGAAGGATAGAGGATAAGGAGCCGCAATTGACTGGAGAAAAAAAAAGAGAATAAGGCCTAAGCTGACAAATACTGATACTGCTCCCTTGAACCACAGTCAGTTCCTGTAAATGTACTGCAACTGTAATTTCTTTGTCACAGCACCTTTCACCAGTGCCACCTACACAGTATATTCAGGAAATATAAAAATAATCAGTGGCTCGATGGAAAATTAGCTTTAAGATTATTCTCTTGCTACCGTACGATGGACGACTGACTTATATGTTTTAGATGTAGCCTACATATTGCTATTAGCGACAGGAAATGTCAGCAGATTGAGGAAGTAGAATATCTCAGAGGTAGTGGTTTTTGAGGAAACACTACAGTCTTCATATTGTAACAGTGAAGAAGATTCTAATGTTTTTTACTTTAATCTTTTATCTTACATATGGGCGCACTGTGTTTTGTATTTTCACTCTACCATGATGATTAGCATACGGACGCCGAGAACAGTCATGCTTGCAATTTTTTCAATGCTGTTGTTTTAAAATCACAGGTTAATTATTTGTTATCTCAAAATAATGAGATTGTCATGATAAAAGAAAAGATCATTTAATTTCATTATCTTGAGAAAATTACATCATCACAAAAATGTAATTTCCTCTCATTAAAGCCAAGTCCTGATTCAACTCTGAGTTCCTTTTATTAGATGGGTGTGGCACATTTTGTCAAACTCATGTCTCAATTAGACGCAGGGTCCAGTTGCTCTTGGCACTGAAGCAGTTCCTTTCTTTAGATGTAACAAACCTATGCACCTGAGCTAGTTCTGAGGCGGTTGGATCGCACTTACGTATAACAATAAACTGATGTGAATATGGGCATGCGAGACATCGTTAGCAATCATTCCGTTCATTTTAAGGAAACCACTAAAGTTTACATTACGGGTATGATAAACAAGAGAGATGGAAAACATGGTGACTCCCTACCTCTGAGGTGGTCATAAAGTTGGAATATATGTCCGTTCCTCAGTTATTTATATTCCCATAGTTTATAAGTGTCCAAGGTTTTAAACTTTTTTTTATAAAAATTAATCCGAGTCGTGGATATTGTTATAAAAGGATTAAGGGAGGTGTTGTGTTGGTATGCTGGGTGCTGTAAGCAAAATATCATTGACTTTTCTTCTCTTTAGCCCCTTTTACACTGCCTGTTCAAGGCGGGATGTCACGCCATTATTCAGCCCCGCCATTCTCTATAAAAGGAATGATTAAGGAACGGGGGGCAGAGTTGTCTCGCCTTTAAGCAAAAATAGAGGTAGTCACAGCACTGAATTGGCATCTGTGTAAAAGGGACAGCAGGCAGAACAGGACGGGTACCATGTTTTGACAATGTGGAATGTGGGCGATCCAGCTCCAGGAGATTTAAAAAGCAGCAAGCAGCAGTTAGCAGCTAACTCAAAGAAAAAGAACAGAAGCTTAAAATCCGAACACATTCTCACTCCAACCTTGTCACATATTTATGTTTGGTCATGGACTTTCCCCATCCACATACTGTACGACGTGCAAGGTACCCTGGGTGCATTGGTTGTTGACGTTCTGGGACACTGTGTCAAGTTCTGCCTGCTACATGCATTGTCTTCTTTCAAAATACACTTCCGTTTTCACAGGAAATTTACGTTTACATACAGTCTCTTTCAAAATAAATGCACTATGTCGCTACAACACTGCAAACTGACTTTTTTTTTTCTTTCAACAACAAACACACGTGTTTAGGTTTAGGAAAAAAGAACAGGC